TCGATATCTCAGCAACAAAGCTGATTGCGCACGAACCAAGTTGGGATTCTTCATAGTCCATGAGAATCTACATCTTAAAAATAGTCCCACTCAAAAAGATTTTTAGCACCTCAGGCGGTTCCCTCGTAAGATGGCTAAGCCGTCTCTGACCACGGTTCAAACCTACATTGTTGTCGCAAAATCTGAGAATTCTTATTTTTATTCAAAAATACAGCAATATTCGATACAACGTTTTATTGCATTACATGTTTCAACCTACTTGTAGGAGTTGTTGTCGTTTTCGATGATTTTATTAGTAAACCGGCAGCCACTGCACCGCCTATGAGAGCCAGACCTAGAGTACTTGCTAATGCCGTAATGAAACAACACTGCGGTGTGCAACATAAAGCTTTAGCTGCACTAGAAATAAACGAAGTTTGCGATAACGTAGATGAATGTGCACCTAAACCTACCATTTCAAACGTCTTCGTCTCCGTTCTCTATCGTCTTCATCATCATCCATGTGTCCAGCTGATTCAGTCTTCTTTTCTTTCTTTGTCTTTGATTTTTTTCTCTAAATAAAAAGTCTTGGTTTAAGATACACTAATACTTGCAAACAGAACAACATACCTTTAAACGTCTTTTCGGTCGATCACTATCCGAACTGTAGCTACGTTTCATTTGATCGGCGCCGTCAAAACACAAAGTTTTTACTTCATGGGCCTTTGTAAAGAAAAAGAAGTCATCTACATACCCCATGTTTATTCACTTTTCTCCTTCTCTCTCTCCTGAACTTACAGACAAGACCGAGTGTGGTGGAGAATCAGCGGTTGGTATTGTGCTGCCTGTAGTTAATAGTGACGATGGTAAATTGACTAAGGGTGCTAACTAAAAATATTTTAAAGTCGCCAGCTACTGTACTCAAATAACGCCTTCTAACAGCATACATACGTCGTTTGTCGAAATAGGCCCTGTAGTTTGGTGAGCCTTAGCTGTTTCTACCAGATCATGTACAAGTGGTATGGAATTATCAAAGGTGTTTGAGTATGACCTCGACTTTCGATAACTGACTCGCCTCACTGTTACCGCCGAAATATTCTCAGCAGGCAAAAATGACTCCGGTTTTAATTGTGTTGTTGTCTCCGGTTGCATATCTGGAACTAAATTTTTGTCAACAGCGTTCGGTTGTGATCTTTTTCGACAACTGACTCGCCTCACTGTTACCGCCGAAATATTCTCAGCAGGCAAAAATGACTCCGGTTTTAATTGTGTTGTTGTCTCCGGTTGCATATCTGGAACTAAATTTTTGTCAACAGCGTTCGGTTGTGATCTTTTTCGACAACTGACGCGTTTCACTCTGACTAAGGATTTCCCTTCATTTGACTCGGACCTTTCTTCCTGCACTTGACTTGTAGCGTCCGTTGACGTTTCATTTAGAACTGATATATCAACAACATGCAACTGGGAATACGACCGTTTTCGAGAACTAACATGTCTCACGAGTACTGGTTTATAAGTCTCGTTCATTAAAGCTGACGCCTGTGTTGAGGATGTAGTCGTCGTAGTGTCAGATAGCCGCGCAACAGGGCTAATTTTTGTGTGGCCTTTCGATGCTGTAGTTACAGCTAACGCTTGTGATTTTGGTTCAATCTGTAGTGATCGTCTACTTATCTTATGAACTTGGACCATCGGTTTATCCATCTTTCGAGAATAGTATTCTTGAAAATTTTTGAGTAATTTGGTTATTTAGAAGTGACGGTTTTATACCTTTACAAATATCAAACTAGAATATTTCATTGTTCTCTTTCTATACTCATTATTTGCACGTAAAGTTTTTATTAATTCAATGTGTTTTTAATTTATTTATTTTTGATTATAAGGCTTCATTTATCACATTTTATTCTATTTTTATATTACAAACAAACGAACAATACTTAATTTGTAAATTTTTGTTGACCTGCAGGACGAAAATTTTGAACTGAATGGCGACACGCTAATAAACAGTGCATAAATCGTACTTGTTTTTACCGAAGAGTGCGAATTTTTTGAAGGTGAACAGATAGGTTTTGTAAGAATCTTTCCTTTCAGCTTATTTCAAAAGTGATATGATGCCTTTAGTACAAACAAGAAGAAAAAAGCAATCATAAAAATTACGTTCATCCGATTTTCTCACTATTTTCTCACTATTGTATTATTGGTTCAAGGACAAAAACTCCGTCTGTGAGTAGACAAGATCTTGGTAGATCGGTGTCTATCTTGTTATTGATTTGAATAGCTAGCAATAGGTAGATGTTCAGAAGGATAGCTATTTAGGTCTGTAGAGTACACAATGCATGCGCTACTGGGTCATTTCGACTGCATCCTCATCCTCGAGGCTTCTGAGAAGTCTTCATTTTAATTTTAAACTAGGTTGCACTCAAGATGCATACTTCTTATAAATACTGCCGAGTAATGTGGGATCAATCTGTAATAAATCCAACCCCCGAAGAAAACACATTTTGATTATAATAAAGCAAAATTCGTTGATCAAGCAACTAGAAAAAGAAGATGGGTTTCGCAGATTCTGTTGCTCGATTCTACCTACGTTTTTGAGTCCTCAATAATTGTAGGTTTCTGAAAATGTGAAATGTCAAATTCAGTTTGTTACAGTCTGTTTTACATGGGAATCAGAGTTAAATACTTATGAAATTTTAAAGAAAAAATAAAATGGAAACTTCACAAAGTTGGACCACAGTCAAAAATTTTTTCTGAAGAGCTTATTATATGCGCATTTTGGCGCGAATAGTAGCGTTTTAAGTGGCGCCACTATTCGCGCCAAAATGCGAAAAGTGATTTGAATCAAGAGATACTTTACTGACCGTCGCTTCATATAATAAGCTCTTCAGAAAAAAAATTTGAACCGATTCTGTTCTCCGTATAAAAAGTCGATTTTCCGATAATGGATTTGAACGAAATGCTTTAAGTCAATCCAACAATTATCCAGTTTAACTAGTTCTGTTATATTATTTTCGTTATACTGTTTTTCAATAATTTTTGATTCAATATCAGAATATTTTGTCCATCCTTCGTTTTGATTTAGCAAGCATGGGTTTGAATTTGATTTCCAGTACCATCTAGCTTGTGACTGATTTCGGCGAAATTGCAACGACAACACTTCCTTTGTCAGAGATATTGTTTGAAGGTTAAACAAATCTTTCTTCGGTTACACAACATTCTTTCGATTCGTCTAATGTCGTTCCTTTCAGATCAGCAGACATTCGTAAAACAATCATCTGGAAGTGTAATCAATGACAAAACAGCTAGTGGAAGGATCTAATCAGTCACAAGTTCAGTGGTACCGGAAATTAAATTCAAACCCATACTTGCTAAATAAAAACGAAGGATCGACAGGATGACACCAAAAAACATTTTGCTTTCATAAAGAAAAGAGATAGTAAGAGAGACGTAATAAAAAAGCAGTTTCTCCTTTGCTCTAACGTCACGTATCATTAAGCATCGAAAAAGAACGTGTGTTTTTTACTTGTATAGCGTATTACCCAATTTGTAGCCGTCATCCCTTCATGCATGAAACAGACAGACAGTAAAATTACAACGGCTCTGTTAAGAAAGAGGTCTCGTCTTTATCAATACAATACTCAAAAAGTAGGGTACATATAAACACATATTCCTCATTAAGGAAAAGGTATCTGTTATAATGATCTTTCCATATCACTGAACAAGCAAAATTTTTGAAAAGAGTTCGGTAGAAACGGATTGCATATTCAGATCCTCCATAGTCGGTTACGTAGTACGACATTTATTTTGAGTCTGGTTTAGGGCTGTAGCCGTTCACATTGGTTTGTCAAAATTTTAAACGGGAACGGAAACGGTTTTGCCGTTGACGTTCTGAACTGTAAATGGTGTCTTATCAGTTGATGTTCTAAACTGTGAAGGTGTCGCATTAGTTGGCGTTCTGAACTGTCAACTGCATCTGGTCAGTTGACGCTCTCAACTGTCAACGTGAAAAACTATGTCGTTAGATGTCGTTATGGTGTAGTTCAGTATCAGTATGATGATTCGTAAAATGTACATGTTATTAAAAACAGTCAAAAAACAAGAAGTAAATTTTGAAACAAAACCAAATAATATGTTTCGATGTATGAAATAACGTGTTTTATTTCGACAATGCCAAGCGTGCCTTGTTTGGTCGACCTCGTTTTCTACCAAAGTTTTCTAATTTTGACGGTTCTTGAACATGATGATATCCAAATGCATCATTATTCCCAATGCAAGATGATTATGATAGTTTATACCATATGCTTTATTTCTAATTTCGTCAGAAAAATTCAAAATCGTTCTGCAAATAACGTAATCGTTCTCTTTTCGAGCATCCGTTCTCGTTTTAACTGTAAAAAATATTCGTTCTCTAAAAACTGTGAACCGTTCTCTTTTAAATATTTTCCGTTAATATAAGTCAGTCGTGTAAGTAGTCACAACTTTTCATATCGTTTTCCTTTTAAAGATTGCCTACAAAGTATGTTGATATGCTTTTGGTTCCGAACTCCATATTTCAGATCTAGGTTTTTAGAGGTTTATTTACTTCCGTTTTTTACAATATCAGGTAAATTCATAACGAGCATGAGAAATTCAAACATACATTTAGCGGTTTCCTTATAGATCAACCGACAACAACAGATGTAGAAATGAAAACTAGCGGTGTTGGATCAAGTAGAAGTGGTGACAGTACAGTAGTAGCAACAAATGGAATTTTGACCGAAACGAGTGATGGTGAATGCAGTGCTTGTGGTAGTGGTTTGAGTGAGTTTTTCAGTTGCCTCCTTCGTATTGTAATGTTCTTTCACATTTTCTGGTGTAGTAGGCGGTGGATCTATTGGTTCAAATGGGGGCACTCAGTCGGTAACATCAACAAGCGAGGATTCAGTTTCGGGAAATACAGAAAGAGAAACGGGAAGTGGCAGAAATTTTCAAGGTAAGTTTTCTTCTTTTCAATCTTTTCCATAATTTAAATCATGGCGTTAATGAGCAACATCGAGGAAGAGGCAGAGAAGGCCGTGCCACAGGACGAGGACGTCAACGTACAAGACGTGGTTAGTATGGTTTTCTTTACTTTTTGAAGTTAGCAGATCGAGGGCAGATCGAGGGATGATATCTTGTGTGCTTTCCCAATTAATTTTTTGATACCAAATATTTCCTTTGGAAGCTATTTTTTTTAAGCCATTTAACAGTATTAAACATTAGTAAACTCATATGTGTTAACTGACTTACGTAGAGAGTTCTGATGTGTTGACATGCGTTATATTCAGCATACCAAAAGTAAACGAGAAAAGTCTAATCTATTAAAAGTTATTAATGCATTAAAACGAACCAAAATGGATTGTTTAATACGTTAGCATATTGAAAAACGCATTTTAGTCTCATATTAAATTATTTTAACGCATTACGTGCGTTATAATGAAAAACATTTTTAACGCGTTCTGAGGTTTTTATACCTTTCACTCTTATAAACTGAATGCTATTCAACACGTTAAGAATTTTCATATATTCAGACCTATTGGGTTGATGCATAATTATCCGGCCACTTTATTTGTTGACCATTTTGCGTTTAAAAATCGCATTTCTTTTATAGATTTTTTGTCCAATAATAATCTTTATGTTCTAAGTGATAAAAATGAGTGTCAAAAACCACGTTCACGTGCGCCATATATTACCGTATCACTTTGAAAAAGGCAACACAGCTGGTGAAGCTTTTCGCGATATCAACGAGCTTTTTGGCGAAGGAACAATTGGAAGAAGTACGGTCAAAGAATGGTTCGTTCGCTTTAAAAATAGTGACACAAGCTTGGAAGATAAACCTGGAAGAGGAAGACCATCAGATTTTGACGCCTAAGCACTTTTGGATATTGTGGAAGAAGACGAAAGCCTCACTACCCGAATTTTGGCCGAAATGTTTAATGTTGATCAACCCACCATCGTACGGCGGCTCAAGAAGCTCGGAAAGGTGTGGAAACTGGCTGGGTGGGTCCCTCACGAGCTATCGAAAAAGAACAAAGAAGATAGGGTCCGAATTTTCACTGAGTTGAGCTTAAGAAACGAACAAAATCCCTTCCTGAAGTTCTTGGTTACCGGTGACGAGTCATGGTTGTTGATCAAAAACGTCAAAAGAAAGAAGGTATGCGTTGACCCCGGCCAAACCCCAAAAGGAATCCCAAAGAATTTACACTGCAAGAAGGCCATGTGGTGTGTTTGGTGGGACGGATCCGGCATTATCCACTGGGAGATTATCGCCAAAATTCGCCAACAAAGCTTCTGTTTTTGGTGGGATGACAATGATGTGGAGCAAAGTCGGCCGATTCCAGACCGGGCGGGGAAAAAGATGCATACTCTCAACAGCGACGTTTATCTGGCTCAGCTCGACCGCCTCCATGCAGCCATCCAAGCCAAGACCCCGCAAAAAGAACCACATCGTCTTCCATCACGTCAACGGCAAGCCCCATGTCGAGCATCGAGTGATCGAATCGATCGAAGAGAAGGGTTGGCATTTGCTCCCACACCCGCCATACTCTCCCACGGAAGCTCCCTCGGACTACCACATCAACCGCTCATTGAAAAACTGGATGGTGAATAAAGTATACGAAGATCTGGATGAAGTTGTCGAAGATGTTAAGGCGTGGATGGCCTGTAAGAATCGTGACTTCTTTACCCATGGAATCGATATGTTGCCAAGCAAATGGGAAGCAGTTATTGAAGTGGATGGAGAATACGCCCCAGAATAATCATTCAAATCTGTTTTTATTGTGTTTTGTTGTTGTTTTGTTGAATAAACTTTAATATCACAAAGTGGCCGGATAATTATGCATCAACCCAATATTAAGATACGAAAACATATTATATTCCAATGCATTTGACGGCATTCATAGATGACTATATCAAGAGAAGGAAACCAATTTTTTCGAAAAGTTTCTAGGTCCTCTATAGTATGTACGATTGAGCAATCGTTCGAGACCAAACTTTTTCAGTGGAATCGCAGTGAATTTTTTTGATACCCAAAATTTTCTTTGAACGCATTAAAATCGCCATTTTATACCTTTAATATGTCTAAAATCAATAAATGGATAAAAAGTTTTTAACGCCTTCGCATACCTTAAACGTTAATGTACTTGGCAATCTTACATTTTCTAACTTTTATGATGCATTCAATGCAAATGTAAAGTTTACAAACTCAACACCTTCAAATGCCGTATTAACTAACTGGTCATACATGAATGCATTCAAATTCGATAAAATTTAATGTACTTTCATGAATTAAACAGGTTTAACGCGTTTGAACGTATTAAAAAAGTTTAACGCGCTGAAAAGGATTGAATTTTTGAGGCTTTACAGTTAGAAATTATCCAAACGCGTTAAAAACCTTTATAGTTAATTTAATTTCAACGCAACAAATGCCTTAAAAAATATTTAATATGAATTAAACTAAAGACGACATATTTTTTCGCTAAACTAACGCGTTAAATTGTCCATTTTAATACGTTTTTGGTAGATCCCATTAATGACTTTTTGATACATGGGAACTTTTTCGTTTACTATTCAATGGAATTGCCAGAAACGAATAATAGCATTTTTTGTGTTTAAAAAGTATTAAGACGTTCACATGCATTAATTCTTAACCCTTGTGAACTCATTAGAATGCATTAAACGATTTCATGCATTTGAATACATTAATTCTTAAGGCGAGTGAATGCATCAACTTAATCTGAATACATGTGACTCAATTATAGGGTGGGCTGAGCCCACCTGTGGCGCCGCCACTACGCCTTAGGCAGGCTTGGTATAGAATTTGCATTTGCCGCAAACTGAAAACGGCAGAAAATAGAAAAATGCTCTGAAACTTAGGAGTGAAATCAGATAATCAGAAAATATGCACATGACTTTTTCTAAAACTCAGCGTAAAACCTCGCTAACTTTGCTCGAGTTGAAAGTATAGTAAGGAAGTGTTACAAATTTTGCAATAACGTATGAGCTTAAAACAAGATTCTTTATTACCAAAAAAAGCATCAAAAGAATGAATTACGATGAAATGCATTCACCATAATGTGGATTATAAACGCTGAAACCATATGACCCAATGTTTTTAAAGTCTGAAGAATGCTTAAAATTGTTTCAAATTTGCTAACTATAAGCTAAACGTCTGTTCATTTCTGTCACACATACGATTATTTCAATTAAGACTTGTTGTATCTTTATCATTATTGGGTGCCTTTGCTAACGGTGGAGCACAGTAAATCCTAATTCTAAAGCAGACTTTTAATGTAATGATAACTCAAGCTATATACAATTAATAAGTAAAACTATAAAGTTTAAAACACGACTTGAACATAAACCTTTGCTACCGCTTGTGTTATTCCGTCAGTGGTTTTTTAACATTTTATTTCTCTTACACTTTTTGAACGAAAACATGTCCGGAGCTTGGGAGCATGCTAAATCGAAGAAAAAAAGGGTAGTGAATATAATCAAACGTTCACGCACTCTACACGTTCTTTTGTTTAGGAACTAACGTGGACCACAAAAGTTTAGCCCTTTTTATTTTTGATTCTTTTCGATATCTGCAAAAGCTTTAAAGGAGGTGAGGTGCGCTATATATAGCCGACATCTCGATCTTTAGATTCATACAATAAGGTCTTTGCCAAAGAGAAACTTGATTTTACTCTTTTGAAACTAGAATATTTTTACTCCAGCGGACAAAAGTTCTAAGAACTTTACGCGCCACATTTTGGCAAGAAAAGTTTTTTCTGAGCCTGCCATATTGACCTTGAAATTTTAATTTTACTGATGTATGACTATGACGCAAAATTTCAAAAAAGAATTCTTCTTAATTTAAACTTTAATAAAAAAAGTTTCGTTCATACTTCATTCGACAGAGAGTGAGAAACTGAACAAAACTGCCAATTCAAAAGTTTTGAAAACAAATGTTTGGTATGTACATTTTTTTTCAAATTATAAATAAGTTTTATAGTTTTGCATCACTTTTTCTGTAACAGTTTTGTAATTAAGGTGATAAAAAATGCTTGATATTCCTTACAGTATTTTACATATTCTTTAGAACGGTGAAAGTGTTATATGAATCAAAATTTTTAACGCGAACGTTACTCGCTTTAAATACGTTCTTTTTCATAAATGAACCCGAATCTGGTTTGTGTGGTAAAGGGTTTCATAAGAAAGCTCTTAATGGTCGGGCGTTACTCTTTGATAACATGTGGAATCAATAATTAATATCCCAAAGACTAATATCAATACAGGTTAACCAGTAATCATTCTCCTACACGTCGTTCGCCATCTCATTCTCAAAATCTTTCATCTACGCCAAACAAAACAAGCTCGTCTTCAAATAACAATTCTTGTCTAACTAAATCACCACCAAAATAAAATTGAA